CTGCTGCCGGTCCGTCTCGATCGCGCGGGCAGGCCGTTCCGGACGCTCGAGAACCTCGTGGAGAGCTGCCGCCAGGAGCACCTCCCCGACTTCATCGCGCCGAGGACGACCATGTGGTGCCTGGAGCACCTCGCGGGCGAGGGTCGCTCTCTCGAGTCCCACTTTGAGCACTTCAAGAAGCTGTGCGGCCTCCAGGACTCCCAGTGGGGCATGGAGGAGTACGCCAGCGTGATCAGCTACCTGAAGGCGCTGCTCCAGCACGACCAGGTGGACGCGTCCAACATCCTGTCGGTGGAGATGATGTTCCGCCGGCTCCAGACGATCGAGTACTGCTACAGCGACAAGTTGCGCGAGAGGACGGCGGGCTCCTCCGCGGGAAGGCTCACCGCCGACGAGCAGGCCGCCTTCGGCGCGACGGCTCGAGCCGAGTCGAGGCTCATGGTGTCGCCCGCGCTGCTCGAGAGCGCCAAGCAGGAGCTGGAGCGCGACGCCTCGCTGGCCAAGAGCCTCCTGAAGGCGCGCGAGGCTCGGGAGTCGCTGGGCAAGCGGAGGCAGGGCCAGGGGAAGGACCAGGGGTGATGCCCGACCGCCCCCCCCAGACGTCCCTCAGGTCTGGTGGGGGGGATCCCGACATGACTGGGGATGCTCGGCACGCCTTCGCGCCGCCGGGGAATTTTGACAGGAACGTGGGGAGGGATTTGCTACCTTTCCCCACGGAGCTGCTTAACTCGTCGGAGCCACCTGCACCTGGGCTCTCGCGAGTTTGCCGGCAGAGAGTCGGCCGTCGGCAGCGTCGTCACGCCGACGTTCTTCGGTGCTTGGAAGGTCTCAACACGATCTACGGCCGCCGTGAAGGGGTACCTGTACTTGCTGATCTGAGCCTTGGGCAGCAGCGTATGCTCGATCACGTTGAGTCTTCTGTCTCTTTCCTGGGGCCTCCCCCAGATGATCTTTCGCAGGCGGCAGCCCTCCAGGCGCTGCGCCTCGGCCTCCCCTACGACGCAGGGGGAGGCCCTGTGGGCTATGAAGCCTCCCGCGCGTCCCTCCCGGCAGCTGGGTCGGTTCCGACTCCGCTCGCCCGGCTTTGGGGATCCGGCGGGGAAAGTACTGTTGCACGCTTTGTTGAGTCGCAAGTTTTGCCCATCGACGTGGCACGAATGAGGTTAAAGGACTCGGGGCCCCTGCGGCCCTACGGTGACCCCCGCCTCCACTCCCCCTCTTTGTACGGCGAATTCATCCAGCGATTGGTCGAGGCTGGTGTAGCCGAGCTGACGCTCGAGCGACCTACCGAGGTAGTTGATTGCTTCTTTGTAAAGAAGGGGGGCGGCAAGCAGCGGCTGGTCGTCGACTGTAGGAGGTCTAACCAGCACTTCGAGCCGCCCGCCCCTGTCAGTCTTGTCTCAGGCGACACTCTTTCCCAGGTGCATAACGACGACTCCCTCGGTCAGCCCGTGTTTATCGGTCAGGTCGATATAAAAGACGCTTTCTATCACATGGAGCTCCCGGAGGGGCTCCGCCAGTTTTTTGGGCTGCGTAGAATTCGCGCCTCGTGGGCGGGCATCTCTCAAGTCCAGGGAGTCCGTGTGTCCCCGGGGACCTGGGTGACCCCTCGGATGCGTGCCTTGCCCAGGACCAGCCCTCTGGTGGTGCCAGGCGATCCACGAGCGGGCTGCCGAAGAGGGAGGATCCCCTGCAGCAGCCCGGCTCGCGGACGGCTCCCCTCCGCCTCCCCTCGCCTCCTCCCCTCACGCACAGTACGTTGATAACTATGTGGTGATTTCGACGAGCGAGGCGGTTGTCCGCGAGCGCTTGGCGGGAGTGTCCCGGATCCTCGAGTCCCGCGGGCTGCCGCTGCATAAAGAGTCTGTCTCATGCGATCGGGCCGTCGTGCTGGGGTGGGAGATCGACTGCCTTCGGCGCACCTTCCGCCCGACCCCCGAGCGTGTCTGGAAGGCTCGTCTCGCCATTCGGGGTCTTTTGGCACGGGCCTCGGTCCCTGGAGGGGACTTGGAGCGCCTCCTGGGCCATCTGTGCTTCATCGGCCTGTGTAGGCGAGAGTCGCTCAGTGTGTTCAAATACTGCTACAGGTTTTGTGAGGCCGCGCGGAGATGCCCAACCCGGGGGCCTCGGGCCCTCTGGGCCTCTGCCCGAAAGGAGCTCGACGTCTGGGACCGTATCGCCCCGCTCATCTGGGTCAACACCTCTGCGGGTACCTGTCCTGACGTCGTCGTGGTGGACGCGTCGCCGTGGGGCCTTGGGGCCGTTCGGGGTCGACCGCCGCTGGCCCTGGTCAAGGAGGCCTGCCGCCATTCGGAGCGTGCTGGGGCGCGGGAGGCGGCCCGGGAAGGGCGGCCCCCCCGTGAGCGCGCCTTTGCCGCGGCCGCCGCGCAGCTGCACGGTCGCGAGGGTGAGGCCGACAGGCGGATCCTGATGGAGCTCGTGCGGCCCCAGTCTCGACACGACCGTCCCGAAAGCGAGTTCGACCGCCGGCACACGAAGC